TCTAGTTCCTTCGATATCAATGTTATCTAATAATAATCATGATTTTTTCTCATTATTACTAGATTACATTGATATCGAAGGAACTAGATTCGGTTCCGAAATATCACATACTCGAACCGACCAGACCGCGTAGCTCAGTTGGCAGAGATTGGGCTAGTATTCCAAAGGTCGTAGGTTCGATTAGGCATATTTTTCAAGCTTGCCCGGTGTGGATATACACTCAGAGTAACATCATCATAACCAAGTTAGTTATAATTCGAAATCTGCTAGATTTTAGCAGATCACGTGACCAGCGTCTACCAGGGTCTTTGCTCCCCAACGGGAAAGTCCCTGGGTACGAGGTTGTAGACACTCCAAAATTAAATTGCTAACATTTTTATTTTCTTGTTTCCACTTACATGAAGTGCGGTGGCATATTCTGGTTTCAATAGCTCGCTGGTGCAAAATTTGCAAAAGGCGCGAAAATCATTTCCATAAATTAGTGGTGTGCGATACTTGGATTTTAGAATTGATACGATACTGACTATTTTTTCATCGATATTTTCGATATCGATATCGATACTTACAATACAAATTCTGTATATTTGGTTGTATACTTTGAAGCACAAAGTATCTTTGTACGACTATTATAATTGACATAGTCGTACAAAGGGTACTTTGTGCTTCAATTTTTTCTTGGTATTTACATAATATTTGGTTTCTAGATAAACAATTTTGGTACCCTCATTTAATTTGCATACTAACTGTTTTGTGGCATCAAAAGTGGCATACTTCATGTAAGCGTGCTATTAAAAATAATTAGATAGAATTATTCCATGTCACGTGATAAATATCAAAATCATCGATATTGAAAAACAGTATCTATACCAATTACCGGATTTTCAGTAGCGACAGTATCGATATTTTTATCAAATATCGCCCACCACTACCATAAATTTCTGTCATTTCAAGATTTTATATTTAAAGCACGCGTAGGAGTGTTTTATCAGATATAAAACGCGAGGCGCAGCCGCGCGTTTTATGTCTGATAAAACACGACAACGAGTGTTTTGAATAGCTTAAAATACGACTACAAAAGAATATTAATTAGGATGAACCATCATATAATCATACTAATTAGGATGAACAATTATATAATGCCACATGCTTTATCAGATATCAAGTCATTCCACGTGACATATTGTGGCTGACATGATTTGCCACAAGGTTTATAAATTATTAATAAGTATTTTAAATTTTTATAGCAATAGCTGTGAAGCCATTTAATTCTAAAAGTTTAAATAATTCTCACAATAACTTGTAAGTACTAAATGATTTTGAGTGATTTTGTTTGGTATAATCTTTATGTATAATTGTATCGCGTTACGTAGAAATTGCCGTACATTATCATGGGTTTTAATATGGAGTGGTTGCACATCACCTGTGGCTACAACCTCGTACCCAGGGCTAGTCGCGAATTGAAGGCGGCGACATAGCCCTGGTAAACGCTGGTCACGTGTCAGGCAAATACTCCAAGATTCTTGGAGTATTAGCCTGCGAGCGGGCTTTGTGAAAATAAAGACAGGGGGGCGACGAAAAGTTCACGAATGGAACTTGAATTGCCGCGGATTATTTATATTCTTTTATTTTTTGTTGTAATCTTTCTTCTTAATATGTTACGTTTATATATTACGTCGAATGTACATCAATCTTCTTTTATATCGCATCATGTAATTCGCCAAGGAGGCGATGTTTCGAATTTCGAAGCAGTGAAAATGGAGCCAATCTCGTACATACTATTTGTGATGATTTCCATCAAGTATGAAAAGGTACAGTATATAGGAATTTGAAAATGTTTAGAAGTATTTCATTGTTACAAATTATTTAGCAGATTCCCATTATTTGCTACACCACTGTCTAGCTCTACGACATATATATTTCGAAGGCTATTTTATACTGTAATATATTTTATACAGTATGTTAATTAATATAGTTAGCTGAATTTTGAGAAACACATGGCCAGACTATACTATACTCGGACTCTCAGTAAAGTTCTACTCTCACATGATTATTATTTACAATATTGATTTATCGCTGTGAGAAACGTGTTTACACTTTAATACAGTATTATTAAACTACATTTTACAGCAGTATTAACTTCAAATACTTTGTATTTACATTTACAGTAATGACCTGAAATTATTTAAATGAGCCATTTAATACTGTAACAACAGAGTGGCCAGGTTGACAAAGCTAAAATCTGATGAACCTAACCTGCTAGGATATTTCAATAGTCAGACATCAGTTTCAGCACTCCAGCTGGTCAGGGATTTTTTAGGGAAAAGTTTTAGCACCCCATTGTAATTAAAACCTGCCCCCGAATCTCAAAATTTCATTATTTTGTTCCCTTGCCACTACAATCTATATTTATACCTTTTGTGCCCTTGAGATCTTTAAAAAAATTGCCTAACTCTGCAGTATGGCGTGTAACCTTGTTGCCATATTTATTTTCTGACTTCAGGCTTCAATAAATTTCTACTCTAATACCTGACAGAGATGGGGGCCATATGTATGAACAATAAGAAATGATTTCTTCATCTATTATTGACCCCTTACCTTTCACTCAATTTTAAAATTAAATTTACTGAATGATTTTGAAGTTTTCTAGATTATTGAAAAGAACTTTATGGGTACAAGAAATGGGGCAAAAACAGTTGAATTAAGCAAGATGCAAGTAACAATGAACAAGACCGGGTCACTGGATGGTATTTCAGCACACTGGTGGACATGCAACCTAATACCTGCAACCTGTGTCACATTATTTATATATAATTATAG